CAGTCGGATTCACATACAATCAATTTGGCTTGAAGTCATCGAACATGCAATTAAACTCAGAATGGCGCGCTGGAGTCGAGAACGTTTCGCGAATCTTAAGAGGCTGAAAATCATAAAAGAAGAATTGATTGAGTAGACGTTCACATAAGGATTACCTTTCGACCACTCCAGAATCTAAAGCAGGAGCCAAAGGAGGAGAAGAAGAAAGCCCACGGCTGAAAGGAACAGGAATAAAAACATTCAAAAATAGTTGATCACAATAGGATCTCATAAAATTGACCAAATTCAATGATACTAACGTGTTCGAGCGCTTCTTGAGCTGTCATTCGCTTCATCCCGTCCTTCACCAACAATCGACGTACAAACTCTTTCGCAAGTGGACTGACTCGATCCCATCTGCACATAACAAGGACAGAACAGTGATAAAAATTCATCTATCGGTGAAGTTATTCGAACACACCTGGAGCCTGATAATGAATATTGGGCTTCGAGAATACGAGAGAACATTTCCTCTTCAGCACCATAAAAAGGCGGATATCCCACAAGAAGAGTGTAAACTGAGAGAGATATTCATGAATACGATCAACCCATGAATAGAAAACGATCAATCTAATGATGCGACTCACCAATGACTCCCAGTGACCACAAATCGCATGCGCTGGTGTAACCGCCCAAAAGGGTATCGGGACTCACATAGGCAAGTGTACCGCAAGTTGCATGCATGCGTTTGGGTTGCTTAGGATCCCAAATCTTGGCAAATCCGAAATCAATCAATTTTAAACTCGAATTTTCACTTGTTGTGTCGTACAACCAATTCTCTAACTTGAGATCTCTAAAATCACATGAGAGTATAAATTGTGCGCTCTTCATGAATGTTAACATTCTATTGGGAATTCAGTCTATCCCGATTGTGAACAATGGATTTGATCTTACCGATGCACAACTTTGTGTCCATGAAGGTAACAAATAGCCGAAAACATCTGGTTCGCAGTATGTCTTGCAGCAGATTCGGAATAAACCTTCCGAGCACAAAGACGTTCATAAAGTTCACCACCTGACGGAAACGAGAAATTTTCCTTCTTAAAAACAGAAAAATCAACAATCCTACCAGAGCAATATTCCATGATTAAATGCACTTGGTGTGCGCCTTCCCAAATTTCGACTAATCTTGCAATGTTTGGATGATCGAGTCGCAAATAGATTGACGCTTCATTACGTAACATGTTCACTTTGTCCTTATTAGCTCCAGTTTTGCTGAACGGCTTGACAGCGTACTTCCTGCCGGACTTTCTATCCACAGCCAGGCGGACCGGGCCAGAAAAACCAGTTCCTACAGAGACGAAACAAGCTGTAGTGATTCATCGAGTCACTGCTTCACATCTGGCAATATGGCTCTATGAGATCACTCACCTAATATTTTGCTTTCAAAACTATAAAAATCGAAGATATTCCCCCGTCGGATTCTGGCTGATCCGAGCCGAGATCCCTTCATTGGTTTTAATATTTGTCCTTGTTTCTCAAGCTGCTGTTGTTGTGTTGCTGCAATTCCACCGTCAGATTGAACGGAGCTCTTCGACGCCCCCGTGCTTGATTTACAACAATTCCCCATTTTTCAAAACGAGTGGATCAAACTTCTCGATCCCCTACATACCAAACCCAAAAATGACGATTCGGTCAATTTAAAAGTGACATCAAATAACTTGGAAGTAAAAAAATTCCTCAGTTGAGATTTATCTAATGCGAGATGTCCCAAAACATTGGTGACATTAACTGTTCTGCTGAATGGGACATTCTATCTGATTGAGATGGTTCGTGATATCAGCCATAAATTGAACTCGTATTGCAAATTTGTTAAAATTCCGATTAATCCGTTAATTCAAGCGCAAAGGTTGCTAAATCATAAAACTCCCTCACAAAATCACGTTTCTAAAAAGTTCAAATGTTGTCTGCAACAGACCAATTCACTACACGCGTATACAACATAGCTGTCTTACCCGGAGATGGAATCGGCCCTGAGGTAATGGACGAGGCTGTCAAGATCCTTAAGAAGGTAGAAGAGCTTTTAAGCCACAGTCATGACTGCTGCACCCACGCAGCGTCTTCATCGCCGCCTCATGGCTCGCTTGAGGAGCTCCCCTCTGTACGCTTTAATCTCGTCTATGGCTTGGTTGGGGGGGCAGCATGGGAAAAATATGGATCACATCTACCAGAAGAAACTATCCAACTGGTCGATCGCTCTGATGCAGTTTTATTCGGGAGTGTTGGGGGGCCAGTGAATGCAGCAGACGATCCGAAATGGAAAGACGGTAGGAGGATCTCTGAGCCTCTTGTTTGCTTGCGTCTATCAGATTTCCCTCTTGTGATTTCAGCTGAACGCAATTCTCTTCTTGGGTTGCGGGAACATCTTTCCCTTGGCGTCAACGTGAGACCAGCTGTGGTGTTTTCTTCGATGAAACATTTGAGTCCCTTGAAGAATGAGCGAATAGCGAAGGGAGTCGATCTGCTTGTTGTTCGAGAATTGTTGGGTTGCGTTTATTTTGGAGAGCATAGAACAGAAGGTAGTCCATGTAGAAACGCGGAGATATGTCTAACCGACGACTCGAATGATGCTGCTCAGGTGACGTCGCAACAGACGTGATGCGATACACAAAGGCCCAAATTGTTAAGGCCTTGGAATTCGCGTTTCAAGTCGCCCAACTTCAACCAAGCAAAGAAAGGCGCAAGGTCACTGTTGTTGATAAGGCTAACGTGCTTGACTGTTCGCGTTTATGGAGACGCACTGCGATGGAAGTTAGAAGAGGATTCCCAGATGTGCGCTTGGAGTTCATGTGAGATCGAACCAATGGACCGAATCACAATGCTGCACCCAATTTGTTTTTTTTAGGTACGTTGACACCGCTGCGTTGCAGTTGCTTCTGAATCCATGTTCGCTGTCTGTTATCGCGACGGGTAACCTCTTCGGCGACATTCTCTCCGATTTAGCAAGCGGGCTTCCCGGCTCACTCGGATTGATGCCAAGCGTCTCATTCGGGTCTAAAATTCATCTTTACGAACCTGCAGGTCAAAGTCAATTCAGTTGTGGAGGAGCAAACATTTATTTTTAATCAGGAGGCTCCGCGCAGGATATTGCGGGAAAAAATCAGGCGAATCCAGTCGCGCAAATTCTATCAATGGCAATGATGCTGCGATACTCGTTCGGCCTGGATTTGATCGCAACTGGCGTCCAGAAAGCAGTCGAAGAAGTCAGTTCTTATAGAGATATCATTAATTGATATGGCAACATCATTCATTGGTGCGACATCAATGATTACTGCAGGTGTTGAAGCTTGGGTATCGTACTGCGGATTTGGCGATTGGAGTGAGTGTGGATTGTAAGGGGTTTATTTGGCTTGACGGTTATTGCTGATTGATTTGTTGATCAGGGGGAGTCAGTGGTTACAACTTCTGAAATGGGAGACGCTATTTGCAATAAGCTTGAAGAGGTCTTGGGCAGCAACGGAAACGATACGGAGTTGAATTGACTTCGATCTTAATTTACTTTATTCGTCTTCATTATTCGTCTTCATAGAAACAAACTGCAAGGTTTTCTTCTGTCACACTCAGAAGGAGCAAGATGTTCTTCTGTTACACAATAGAAGTATTGTGTTCCTCTCTCATTCAAGCGAGATGTTAAGATAGTTCCCAAGACATTTGACCTGATATTAGAAAGGCGTCATCGGCAATTTCCCCCTTTGTGAGAGGATATAAACAATTAGAGGATACAAGGATAACAACTTGCACATCTCCATCTTCCCAAAGGAATCCTCCAATTGTTGTCCTGGGCTCCTTAATCACGGAATTTGCTTTTGTGGATGATGTTAATGGTTTGTGTAGTGGCCATGGTGATAGTCGCGCCTATCGTTTAAGCAAACGTACTTAGATTTCACGAAAGTACGCGCTGGGTTTCATGCGTGCACAGTTGTAATTGGAGCATGAAAGAAAAACAAATTTTGTAATCAATTGATTCAATCAAAACAAATTTGAATCAAAACAAGTAACTGATTCAGTTCAGAATCCTAAGAATTAGGAAGTATGGTGAGATGGAAGATAAGCAGCATTAACCACGGGATCAATAACACAGCGTATCGTTTTGAGGGACATTTAAGAACCGAACTTTCCAAATCCACCTCCTCCAGGAGTGTCAATCATCAAAATGTCTCCAGCGCTTATTTGAAATGTTTCTCTGCTCTTCAACACTCGGATGGTTGATTCAAGCATCGGGAGTCGTTCTCGAATTTCATTCAAATCACGTTCTTGCTTTTCCGCAATTGAATTGACAAACAGGCGATTCAAACCCGGAGAGCCATTTAATCCTCCAACAAACCAAATGGCTCGATTTCCCGTTGGCCTGAAATAACGAACAAGTTCAGAGAACCAGTCAAAGAACATACCAGATAGTATGGAACATTCGACTTCTTCTAGAAACAGTAAAGTCCTTTTCAATCCATCTCCACCACGATATTTTCCTTGTCCCCCTGTATTAGGACGGATAGAAAACTCCAGCACAACCACTGGAAATCTAGATTCGAGCAATTCAACGTCCGTTATACGTGAATTCGTCATATGAGATTGAATCGCTGAACATCCATTGAATCCATCTCCTGCTCCTGTACCTCCACCAAGCGTTTCGTAATATTGAAATGCTGAATTTCCAAATGTGATGTTGTTCATCGTTCCTTGGCTGGCTGCCAGTTGTCCCAAGCAACCATAGAGCGCGTTTACAGCACATTGTGATATTTCAACATTGCCTGCGGCAACTGCAGAGCCTTCCCGTGGGTTAACAATACAATTGTAAGGCACCTTGATCTTGAGCGGTCGCATACATCCTTCGTTCAAAGGGATAGAACAATCCTTGATCAGAGTTCGAAAGACATAAAGAACTGCTGCGTGTAGAACACTGAGTGGCGCATTATAATTCATTGGATCAGTTTCAGATGAACCTGAGAAATCTATTGAAATTTCTTCCCCTTCTATCTCAACTTTGACACAAATTTCAGAACCACCATCCATACAACACGTGAATGTCTTCTCTTTGATAGATCGACCTGGTTTCATCGGATCCCCAGAAGAATCCTCGAGATAGAGTTTCTTGATAACACAACGTGCTGCGCGTTCCCCTCCATCAAGAACGTGACCCATGTACGCTTGTACAGCATCAAGACCGAAAGATTTCACAGCTTTTCTCAATTCTTCAACTCCTCTTCGGTTCGCTGCAATCTGAGCTTGCAAATCCGCAATATTTAACTGAGGATTCCTTGCTGGATACTTTCCTGACGATAATGCTGCTAAGACATTGTGAAGTAAAAACCCTCCACTGTCTGGATCTACAATAAGCATGTTGTCGAAAACGACACCTTCCTCTTCGAGTGTACAACTCATCGCTGGCATCGATCCTGGAGTTTTCCCTGAAGCATATTCGGATTAAAAACTGACGGGCAATAGATTTTATTGGCTGAGAACCTGAACATGAAATTTACCTCCAATATCTGCGTGGTGGCCGCGAGATGCTACGAACGCAATTAGGGAATTCCCATGCTGCTGCTCGTCCGTCAAAAAGACAGGCGTGATCGCGGTGATATCAGGCAAATGCGTTCCTCCATTGAAGGGATTATTTGAAATAAAAACTTGACCAGAAATGAAGTGGTTGTTCTTAGATCGGATGAGTGATTCTACGGATTTTCCCATGGACCCTAGATGAACTGGAATATGGGGAGCATTAGCAATTAAACGCCCATGAGAATCAAACACAGCACACGAGAAATCCAGGCGTTCTTTGATGTTGATCGATTGACAAGTTCGCTGCAAAATGGCACCCATTTCTTGAGAGATTGTTTGGAAGTAGTGATTAAATAATTCCAGCCAAAATGGGTCGGCGACGGTAAGATTGGACGGTTTCGAGCGTTCCTTGTTGCATTCATGTTCAGACGCCGTCAGAAACAAACAGCGATTCGCATCTAGCGACGCCTTCCATCCGGGAAGAACGACGTTTGTCCCAATTTGGTCAACCAAAATTGCAGGTCCATCGAACTCGTTTGGTGTGACGGTCTCCGTGAGATCAACCAGCGTGGCTTCAACCCAATTTCCATGCAAAAATGTCTTACAGCGTTTTCCTTTAATAGTGGTGCCGTTATTGGATTCTTCATGGCAACTTCCATTGTTCTTTCCGTTTGCCTCTCCATTTGAGTCTTTGGAATCTTTGATTATTTCAATCTTCCAATCGGTTAATGCTTTATCCCCCTGTGAGGTTGCTTCAATTTCGACTGAGGAAATGTTGATCAGATGATCTTCAGGCAAACAAAACCCGAACTGCTGGTGGTGAGTCGTAAGAAATTCCTCCCGGAGAGAAGAAAGGGAGCGCCCAATTCGATTTGAAGGAACTGGAGGAAGAAACTCCGAAACGAATTTATGATTTGGATCGGGGTCAACAACTTCTGTTTGATCTAAGTCGTGAAGTGTGAGACCTCTGATGGCTGCTGCTTGATGGGCGCAATAATCGAGCATCAGTACCGTGTCGGTGTTTTGATAACACAATCTTAATTTCACTTTTATAAGTTGGGACACAATTGGGACTCCTTGGGATTCTAAATCGTCACTTAAATGCTTTCCCAATTCTAATACCAACAGATCGATTTTCCTTCTCAGAGTCTTTTCTTCCAATCCCATCCCAACAGTTGATTGAATCGTTCGAGTGATTTCTGATAATCCAATACCCACCGCTGAGAGAACAGAAGCGAGCGGGTGGATGACGACTCGCTTTATCCCCAACCTCTTCGCCAACTCGCATGCATGTTGACCCCCCGCACCTCCAAAACAACACAAGACGTGGTCCCCGATGTAAATTCCCTTATGGCTCGAAATTTTGTTAATCGCTGACGCCATCTGCTCGATTGCAATTTCAATGAATCTTTCGGCTATTCCTTCAATCGTTGTCATCCATATCGGTAATTCTTTACACTTCGAACTCTCGATTGGTGAAATCCTTCGATCAATAGAAGCTTCTGCATTGCACATGTATGCATGGATGATGTTCTGTTGCAGCTCCTCGAACTTTATCGTTGCAGCTTGAACTTCTATTGATTCATTTCTGAATTTCCCAAAGACTTTTGGAAAGCCTTCAGGTTGTATTCTTCCAAGGATGACATTACAATCCGTGATCGTTAGGGGCCCCCCATTGCGGTAACACGCTGGCTACGATACAAAACAAAAATCAATATTAAACTGAAGCCTTGGCTGGTTGCACCTTTCAAGCAGCTATCAGCTTCAGGGTTCTACCATCCAAATTTTTGTATCTATGGTATTGTATCATTGATCGTTTTTCTTTTCTAGAACATTCAGTGATTCATGAAACTCACTCCTGGAGTGGCTCCCGCCGATTCTGGCCCCACCATCAACTTGACTCCATCAAATTTGACGATGGAACCACCCCCACTGGCTATGGATTCAACGTCACATGTCGGTCTACATAAACTGATTCCCCCAATTTCGCACTCAACACGATGAGCAACTCCATTTGAAAGATGGCTCACATCCGTGCTTGTTCCCCCCATATCGAAACTAATCACATGATTGAATCCATACGACTGACAGAGACGCCATGCACCGACAACACCACCTGCCGGTCCGGATAACAGACTATCACGTCCGCGGAAATATTCAGGTTCTGTTAATCCGCCATCTGATTTCATAAGCAAAAGGTGGCCTTCATGAGACTCCTTTGTATCGGGCTGAAATATTGAATCAAGTGGGGGTTTGGGACATACATTTGATGGATCGACGGCGATTTCGGAGGCGAGCTTTGTGACATAGTGATCCAATAGTGGAGTCAAGTAGGCGTCGACGACTGTCGTCTCTGCTCTTGGAACAAATTTGGGAATGGATTCTGTTGAGTGGGACAAATACACGTAGCGAAAACCGACATCCTGACACACTCGTCCCACTTGTATTTCATGATCAGGGTAAAGGTAAGAATGGAGGAAAACAACAGCACAAGAATCAACATGGGGATTCAATACTTTGATTGATTTTAATTGACATTTTAAAGACACAAGTGCAGCTGACGAGAGAGGAATAAGAACAGAACCTGTCGCGAGTACTCGTTCTTCTACTTCGATGACATCATAATGGAGTGGTGAGGGCTTCAATATGTTCAGTGCAAAGATATCTGGGCGAGTTTGATGACGGATCCGCAGCGAATCCTTAAACCCTTTCGTTGTGATGTAGATGCATTTTGCACCTTGACGCTCCAATAGAGCATTCGTTCCAATCGTTGTCCCAATTTTGACCGTCCCAATGAGATGAGACGGCAGAGGATCTGACGGTGCAAGCTTCAGTAGACGTTGAATTCCCTTCGTTGCGTCTGAATATGTCTTTGCATTCGTTTCTGTTCTCTCTGATAAAACTTTTGCGACAACAAGTCTCCCACATGGAGATAAACCAACACAGTCAGTGAATGTTCCTCCCCGGTCAATCCAAAATTGCCATTTGCCAGCCATTCAGTGTTTAAGAGAGTGACTCAAAACAGGACCAGCAGAACAAGGCTACTCACAAGCTATTGAGGAACAAAGAATCGTAAGGCCTGTCTGATGCGCTGGATGCAACAGTCGAGTTTTAAATTGAACCAGAAATATGTAGCAGCTAATCCAGACCAACGCCTCAATTTTGCACACAAAGTTGAGTTCACTCTTAAGTCAAAACACAAACATTCTTCTGTGTTTAATGAAACTCCGACTTGTAAAGGAATCATTGAAACCATACGAATTAGGATTCCTTGCTGATAAAGGTTTAGTAAAATGCCAATAAATGAACTGTTGGCATCCAACACGAAGTCGAGATGCCTCTAGCAAAAATTATGTTGTTGATGCCCTTACAAAGAAGAGTCATACTCCTTTACAGACAGCTGGGTGCATTGCTCTGCTCGAGAATAGAACAGTGAAATGCAGGAGATCCACCATTCCCAACCAGGTAAGTTTATTTAGTTTGTTACTCACCGAAGCTCTAGGTCATCTGGCACGGCGACTGCCTTTCCTCGAGATTGCATGTAAGCTGTTGACTTCTTGGGGCTTGCGTTCAGACCAAAGGCACAACTAGCACATTTCGATTGTGAAAACGGGAGAGGAGTGCGCTAAAGTGCCAGAAGTTCGTCAAAAATAGGGTTCTCAAGAAAAGCGACCGCAACACACGTTCCAATTCTGGCCTGTAAGCTGTACAGAACGTAAACTCAGAAAAACATCAGTAGAAATACATTTCAAAACGGACAAAACAAATCTTATCGCAAGGACTTCCACTCGAAACCACAACGGCAGCGCAAAAATTAAAAATCTAAGAAGGAAGTATGCAATTGATATGAGCATGAGTATTGTACTCGACAAGCTCATGGCGATAGAGTATGGTTTTAGTAGAAAAACATAAACGGGAGTTAATTGAAAGTATCAACAAAATTAAGAAGAATGAAAAGCCCCCCCGTCGGAAGACAATCAGACAGCTGATTACGAGCTATGAAACGGATTCCCAAAAATGAGGACTAGGAAGTCCCAAAAATGAAATCGGAAAACGAATTGAGAGCCAGCAGGTTAAAAAATAAAGAGCAAGGCGGCGGATAAAGAATTCATCGCAAATCGAAAAGCAAAAATGCAAATAGGAAAAGGATGAGGAGGGAGAAAGGAGACCGAATCAGGGGGAGATGTAGCAAATGACTTGGAAAGCAGATAATGGGGGAAGTTCTAGCAGAACATACATTCTAGAGAGGAGGACCGAAGATCATTCCCTCAACCGAATCTAAAGTTCTTCGTGTGGATTCCTTAAGTTTCCGGAAAGGTTTTGTTAACAATCGACCAGCGTCGTTATCCAACTCATTCGAGTCGATAAGCTCAGAGAATTCCTACGAACAGTGAACCAAGAGAGTAGCGTCAATCTCAGTTGATACCCCCAAGACTAGCAAGACCTTGCGATGTCTATATGAGAATTATGTACCTCCACTAATTGTTCAAAAGTTGGCCTCTGGGTGTTCAAACGTTGCAAGCATCTTTTCATGATTCTACTTAATCCTTCAGGACAGTGATAGACGGTATCCAATCGATGATTTCCCCACCCAACAGCAGCAATAACATGATTTAAAGCCATTGAAGAGTGAGGTACCCTTCGCGATAACATCTCCCTAACAACAAGCAGACAAATCAGAATGGAAACTGCACAACATTTTAAGTGGAACGCAGAGGGAGATTCTATCATTCGAGTACCAGAGAATGACTCCAAAAGAGTAAACGTCTGCTGCTTTCGAGAACTCGGATCCCCGAAGCACTTCGGGTGCCATCCACTGAGGTGTCCCAATCCTGCCACGTGTTGCAGCCATGGGGCAGTCAAGAGTCCTTAGCGCCAGACCGAAGTCACAAATCTTCGGCTCTAAATTGTCGTCTAAGAGAATATTGGGACTCTTCAAATCGCAGTGGAGGAGCCCCTTTGCGTGTACGTACGCCATCCCACTGCAAATTCCCTGAATTTCAAAATATCAACTGGTTAATGAATTTTCGGCTCACCAAAGCAATCTGTGCAATGCGTACAGAATCCAACATCACTCCTCTGCTAGAATGAATCAATCCGAACAAAGAGCCACCCGATACGTATTGCGTCACCAACCATTGCCTTTCAAAGTCTAAGCAAACCCCCCAAAATCGAGTGACATTTGGATGCCTCAATGACATCAACACTTTCGCCTCGTCTGCAAGGTCAAGCAGCATTAAAGCAACTCGGTGCCGGTGTCGTTCAGCTAAGCGTTCCTCGTGCTGTTTTCTTCGATCGAGCTCAGATTTGATGACTGATGCTTTTTCGCTTGTCATGCTTTCTTGATCCTTAGAGGACAACCTTTTCGGATGACTTGCCACTTCTTGGAGGACGTCCTTTTTCGGTGCGGTTCTCGGAAATGGCGAAACTCTGAATGCTTTTATTGCAACTTCGGCGTCTCCCCCCCACAGACCTCGATAGACAATTCCGAATCCACCCTCCCCAACCAAACGACACCTCCGTAAAGCAGACGAGGAAATCAGACATTCACGAAAGAGATCCCGTAAATAGCGGAGGATGATCACCCACTGGAAGATAAGAGTAAAAAGAGAGAATTGAAGAGAAGAATTCTTAAAGCTTCCAGATAGAAATGAATTGAGTAACAAGAAATCAATCAAATAACAGAGTGAAAGCAGCGCCCACCATTTCAATTATGATCTATTCGTTTCTAAGTCTTCGTATGTGATCCAAGTTCGTATTATTCTATGTGGCTCACAGGTTGTCCTTGAAAACGTCGCTTTGTTTCGCATCGTGATAGCGCTTGAGCAGCTTGTATCAGAAGTTGTCTGTGAGTTGCGTCCCTGATTCGCAATTCATGCTCAAGATCTTGCTCAGTGATGTTGATTAATTCTGCGAACAAGGCGGTGTAAACTCAAAGGAATCATTGATAATTGATGAATATAGATGAATATAGAATCATTGATGGATGGAATTCTAATTCATAGACAACGTCATCGCCGTCTTACCTTCGCCACCAATGTGGTTCCGTTGGAAAACAGGGCCCAAATGCGAGAGGCCCAAGCACGATAGGAACTCAGCAAGATCTTCAGCACTCCATTGTGTTAATTCTGGCATTGCGATTTCCTCACTTGCTCCAGAAGAACTCGAAACAATTGAAAATGCTTCCGATGGTTGCTGTTTGCTCTCATCCCTAATTGGTTCTAAATCAAATTGAAAGGATTTGTTGGTACTGGGTTGGACAACTTCCCCGAAATCAATTAGGGGTCCTTTGTTAAGGGCTTCCGCCATCACGAATTCCGACGTCGGTTCTTCAGCTGCCTCTGTTCGACGAACAGGTATTTCATTTCTTGTTGAATGACCGTCCGATGGGACAGCTGGGACTTTTTCACTCGTTGATTCTTGACCTTCTTCCGTTTTTTGTTCACTTGATTTGTTTTCGTTGTTTTCAGCTGCATGTTGGTCTGTGGTCTCGGTCATTTCAGAAGTTGAAGACGTTGGAAGAAGCGTATTTGGAACGTTTGATGGCAAAGATGTCGACGAACTCTTCTTTTCAAGCCGATCATCTGTGGAGGAGTTCGTCGAACACGTCGATCCAAATCTTCCGGGCAGAGAGGCGCACCACCGTTGGAATTCTCCCTCCCCGTTAATCAACCTGCAACTCTGATGGGGGATCGAATTCTTGTACACAAGAGACCGTTGAGCGTCAGATGAACTTTTATCGAGTCCCACTGGCAATGAAGAATCTGATAATGCGCAGGATGCCAAAGATGCACAATTCGCAGAATCACTCCCAAGTCTTCGTCGCAATCTGAAGGAATTCCGGCGTCGCGTTCCAGCGTTGCAGTCATTGTGGGGTTGAATTTCTTCTGATCTTCTTCCCACAGCACCGACGAATGCGCTCATCAGTGTGCTGGATTGCGTGCCTCTAAAACAGGAGGTTTGGGACGTAGCGTACTCTTGTCCTTTTTTTGCAACGCATGTTGATCCTGCATAGTGTGACGAGGAGGTTCCCGACGTATAGAGGGGAGTTTGGAGCGTACTTGACGCGGTAGTCGATATTGCAGAATCGTAGGGGAAGAGAAACTGTCCCACCTCATGGTCAGACAACTTATAGCTAATGGAAGAAGGTTTGTTATCAGCCGAATCAGCAACAGCTTCAATACTAGAAACTTGCGTTGGTTGATTGATCGGAAGATGTTGCTGTCCTCCATCTTGTGCAGAACTGTCTCCACTTTCTTGTTGAAAAGAAACGGGAGGGTCAATTGGCGGTGAAACTGTAGGAGAAGAGCTTCCCGGAGAAGAATCAAATCCCTCGGCAATTGGTTTCAGTTTCCAAGGTGATTGTTTCACTGGGTTGCAGATTTCGCTGATTGGTGCATGAACTGGTTTTCTAATGGGAATCGATGACGACGCTTCCGAGGGCAAAAAGTGGCGATCGATAGGGAGGATTTCTGCCACATGAACCCTCCGTTGCGATTCATCTAGAGATTCTGAGGGAACCGCCGCGGCGTCCTCCCCGCTGATTTTGGCTGCAATTCGTGGCGATCGAGACGTGGAACGCACTTTGGGGGAAGTTTTCGGAAATGAGGAAATAGAAGTTGTTACATCATGAGAAGACTGCTGAGAGATGGAAGTGTCTTGAGGTTCCTGAGAGGAAGTGCTCTGTAAGGTAAGGGATGCATCTGATGGTAACGACCGATTTGGGAGTCCAAAAGACAGACTGCAGATCGAATCAGACGCGTTTTGTTGAAAAGTCATGATTTTTTCCGCTATTGCTTGAAAATCTTGCGTGCGTAACTTCCTTCTATACATCAGCAATTCTTTCAACCAGACACGTCTTGTGAGTTTTCCCTGGTTCCACCATTCAGCAAAAACTTCTCCTCGAGGATGGATGAGGACACCTCGGCCGTGTTTCCTGTTGCTGGAAAATTGGCCGAAGAACGTTCCGTGACGCCGCATCACCAACATGCCCCAC